TTATATTATTATATTATTATTATTATTATTATTATTATTATTATTATTATTATTATTATTATTATTATTATTATTATTATTATTATTATTATTATTATTATTATTATTATTATTATTATTATTATTATTATTATTATTATTATTATTATTATTATTATTATTATTATTATTATTATTATTATTATTATTATTATTATTATTATTATTATTATTATTATTATTATTATTATTATTATTATTATTATTATCCGGTAATTGAAAAGGGAATCGAGAATTTTCGAAATCTTGTTTGAAAATATTGGCAAAAATTGTTGAAAAATTTGATTAAAAAATATTCAAATAGCAATTCACAATATTCGTTCTTATTAGAGCGTTCTTTTTTTTTCCATTGATATTATCGTTTATATAAGATTTGTTTTTTGTTTTCGATTTTAAAAATGTATAAAAAAACAAAATTGAACGACGAATTAACCTTGAATTGTTAAAAATAATGAATGATTTCACGCTAAAAATAATAAATTAAACCTAATCATTTTTGATTTTTAATCTACCAAATCGGCTAATATTTTTTGACAAGCATGGAGTGTTAGATTGATTGATGTTGAAATAAAAAATGTCAATGCATCAAATGAATAAAATGATGAACTCGAGAAAGAATGATAATTTAGTAAAGTATTGATTTGTAAAAATAGTCTCCAAAAAGAATGGGGGGGGAGGGGGGGAGGAAAAAAAAACAAAAGCAAAACAAAATTATTAGTTATTAGGGATGGGAACAAATAGTGATAAGTGATTAGGAGTAAGCGATAAGAGGAATTGCAAATAGGACATTTTTTTCGTGAAACAAATTTATGCACAAATATATGTGTATACATATCAATAGTTAAGTTTAGAAAATACGCCTTGCAGTTTCTGATAAAGCAAATCATATGGGTTAAGTTTAGAAAATACGCCTTGCAGTTTCTGATAAAGCAAATCATATGGGTTAAGTTTAGAAAATACGCCTTGCAGTTTCTGATAAAGCAAATCATATGGGTTAAGTTTAGAAAATACGCCTTGCAGTTTCTGATAAAGCAAGTCATATGTGGACATGCTTAGAAAGTACGCTTGATAATCCTCAAAAAAACGAAAGAAGAATGTAATGAATTTGAGCATGCATGCTATTTATCAATGTTTAATAAAATGATGCCATTTTTAATTGATAACATTTTCTAATCTATGAATACATTTTAATTGAAATACTGATACAGTTAACATTACGAGGTAAATTACTTCCCGTTCTTCCTCTCTTGGTACAGTTAACATTACGGGGTAAATTACTTCCCGTTCTTCCTCTCTTGGTACAGTTAACATTACGAGGTAAATTACTTCCCGTTCTTC